TGTGTGTGTGTGTGTGTGTGTGTGTGTGTGTGTGTGTGTGTGTGTGTTTTCAATGCTGTTGTGGTGAATCCGATGATCCTGACCACCTAATGATGGTCATAAACATACTGTACCCTCATGAATTATGGAGCTACACTGCATCAGACAGTATGTATCATTATGTACCAGATACTATGGATTCTGCACAGTGCACCAACACACGCATGCGCGCGCACGTACACAGCTGCAGGAGGCCTGTAGTTTGAACAGTGCATCATTCAACACATGCACGAGTCAAGTTACTCTCCGTGGCGTCGTCAAAACACGCGCATATTTCTTGTATCAATACACACGTCTCGCGGACAATAACAACCGGGGCTTCATGCTATCAACACAACAGAAGCTTCTGCCCGCTGCCCGCACCGTGAACGCGCCTCGACGTTCCGCGCGCACGAGCAGCCCTGTTTGTTTGTGTTGAGAGATTTGGAAATGGCGGAGAGCAGAGACCAAAGCGATAACTTGGGGTTGCAAACGCGAGTGCGCCGTCATTGAAACGCAAATACCACCGGCAAGTGATTCGTGGAGTTGCTCGCGGTTCTTCTCCACCGATGGGATACAAGTCGGACGCAGCGACAAACGGGTCCTTTTGCAACACGGTTTGGATTTAGCGGAGCTGGGTAAGCTAACCGTGCTAGCAGCCTGGCGTCAGCTAGCCCCAAGTAGTGTGTTTGATTTCAGCTACGCAGGCTTGTTTGTCAACACAAGCTGACGGCAAATTGATAGCGAGCCAAGCTAACACGCAACTTTTGCCGGTTGCCAAGTACTTGGAGTTTGTTGCAACATGATTGCCACGGCTCACCGCAAAATAATGAATCCAAAAGTAACATTGGATTAAAAAAAAAAATAAAAAATCAGACATCTGACGCGAGCAAGCAGTTAGTTAAGCTGGTAATGCTAAAGTTAGCCAGCTGCATGGGAATTAAGCATCCAGCGTGAGAATCTGCAGCAGGACCTCGTGGGCCTGGATCTTTATTTACAAGCGGACGACAAAACAGGTAAGAGAGTCACAGCCGTGGACGTTTATTAACGCATGACACCATGTCATCCTCACTGCAGTGCAGGTTGTGCTCCAGGGCCTGCACACATCCCTGACTCGTTGATTTTTCCACACAACGTCGCCACAAAGACATCGACACCATCTCGGCGAGCTACCGTGCTCCTTTCGCCACCTGCATAGAAACACACCAGGCTTGTTGCTTATGTAAGACGAAGGCGATCGGCCTCAAGGTGTCGTCGCCGTTCCGTTTCGATTGACCCGCGCGCGAATAAACTTAAAGGGCGTCTTGACCTCTTTGTAAAAAAATCCTCTGTTCATGTTTATATAACTCTCAAACACAACTCCTGTGCAGTGTTTTATAAAATATACTTCAAAGTAGATCAATAGCACGCAGTCGGAGAACATGATGCCCTCAGAATAATGGAAGAAATTCACCTGAGTTGACCTCACTGTCTAATGTTTCTATTGTCAGTCGTGGTGTTTCGTAGTCCTGCAGCTATATTCGAAGGCGTTACATCCTTCATCTAAAATCTTAAATTCAGATGACAAAAACATATTGACTGTAAAGAGCTTCTGCTAAGTGAATGCATGTTTGAAAGGGTCTTACTTAGATGCATTGTTTTGGTAATAAACAGTGTTGTATAATTAATGCATCTTAAAGGGACAGTGTGTAGGATTGAATGACATCTAGTGGTGTGGTTGCAGATTGCAACCGACTGAATACATCCTCCCTTTCAATTAAATTTATTTTTGTATTGCCCAAAATCACAAATTTCAAATTTGCCTCAGAGGGCTTTACAACCTGTACACATACAACATCCTCTTGTCCTGGAACCCTCACATCGGAACAGGACAAACTCCCCCCAAAAAAATCCCTTTAACGGGGAGAAAAGAGGAAGAGACCCAAGACTGTGGCAACATACTGTAAGTTGCCAGGTTCAAAACTGTTGGTGTCGCTCAGAGGTTGACTTCCTCACCACGATAACACTACTATAGGAGCAGTGAAATGAAGAGCTGCTCACGTTACCGCAGTTTCACAAGCGCGTCGGAGAACTATGGTGACCTTCAGGTGAAGCTGGAGCCGGTGTTTTGGGCTACATGACGCTGTGAAGAGGACCCGCTCCCTACGAAGGGCTCATTCTAAGTTTAAGAAAACACAACGCTTTTTAGTCTCAGGATCTTTATAATGAAAACATAGCGGTGAGTACTACATTCCTTTTCTGAAAAATAGATCCCCCGAAAGGCTACACATTGGCCCTTTCCAGAGGAGGGATGTAATGTGTTGTGTGAGTGTCGGAGTGCGTATTACGTAGAAGTCGTAGAAGAGGAAACTGTTGATAATAACAAACATTAATAGTCCTGCAATAGTTTGGTTTGGGCATTAGTGTTCTTTAGGAATGTGGCCTTTGTGTGCTAGAAGTGATGGTGGACATATATCATACTCTTTATTTGTGTTTATCATCTTTTATTGTTAATTTTCTATTTTTAAATGATGTCTTTTACTACTGCACTATGGTTATTGTCACGCACCAATCGCCACGCCAAGTTCCTTGTATGTGTAACATGCTTGGCAATGAACTGTTTCTGATTCTGATCTGCTGCACGTTAAGAGTTCTGTCTCTAAAATGTAAACAAAAATCTGATAATCGTGCCGAAACAGTGTATATATGTTTCGTCTACGATGGAGCGGAAACGGTGTTTGAGTAGAACCCAGTTCTGTTAAGCTTTTCTACTGGCTGTGTTCAGACTTGTGAATTGTGATGCAAAGCATCAGCAACAAAAACAACTCAAAGCTATTTGGGCTTATGGGAGATTAAGTCAGGTCAGTTATATTTATAAAGCGAGGCAAATCTTTACTTTTTGAAGTTGTGTAAGGTAGGGCTGGGCGGTATACTGGTTCAACCACAAGATGCCACAGTTTGATCAGTGGAAATAACCACAACAAACAAACAACACAACAAAACCACTGTAATAATGAAGGGAAAAATAATTATTTTACCGCTCCAAATAACAGACCCAGATCAGACAATGCATACAAAAACATACCTATCAATGATGGATGAACTTTCTCTACACCCAAAATTCACCTGTGATATGAAGAAGAGATGAGGACCCTTAACCAGACCTTGTCACAGCGCGGTGACATGCTAAAGCGCTGGAGTTACCTCCTTTTCCCTGGTAAAAAGAGACAGTTTGTGCATACTGATGAGGATGTGGAGGCAGATGAGGGCGGAGGTTGTTGCTGCTTGATGGTTAGCACAGAATCCTATGTGGTTCACATGTATTAGAATGTGAGCGATGACAATTTCTTTATGAGCCCTCAGACACAAGCTGTTGAAGCTACCTAAGGATGGGAGTGGGGAGCCCTCCTTCCCAGCTAAGCTCTGTGTCTGTATGGAGCATGAGCAGCCATTTTAGCACTCGGCACTGCTGCAGCTTGGCTGCCACTGTCACAGCATTCTGCTGCTGGAGCTGTAGTACGTTTCCATGCTGTCCCCCACCACACACACACACACACACACACACACACACACACACCTGCAACCAGCCAGTGGAAATCTCACAGTGATGTTTTTACTGAGGGTCAGAACACTCGGCAGATACTGACGAACGCCGTCTGAGGAGGCAGATGGATCAGTTAGGCTTTTTTTTGTTGGGACGATAGAATACGAATGTCTCAGTGTTCACAGTTGTCAGTCTCTGGCAACTTAGTGTTTAGTGTCGTTGTAAGACCAAACTTTGATAGCAGCACAAAGTTTCCTATTTAGCACCAAGATGTGAGACAGAACCTGAATCTCTCTCTCTCTCTCTGAATCAGCATCTTGCCTCATTGTTCTTTAAGCATTTTGGAAATGTTTTCTTCATCATGCTGGCGTATCTTGCTGTTGTGAATAAAGTAAATCTCTTGGATGGATAAGTCGATGTTCGATAGAGGTGTTGAAATGTCTCGTTTATAAGATGCACCGCGATGCGGACACGCAAACTATTCTGCGTCGATGCAGTGACGGGACATCATCAGGAGTTTGGTTTCATTTCAGAGCGGTGTGTGCCTTTGTGTGTGTTTGCCGTTGTGCACTAAAATAGCAGATTGTGTGAGTATTTCAGACAGAGACCCTATAATGTCGAGCCCTGTAAGCTCTGCACACTGTAAGTGGATCATCACAGCTGCAGGCCGACAACCGCTCTGCACGCAAACTTGAAGCAAAAGCACCCCGGAGTGCTTTGTCAAGACCGCACCGTGTCCTGTTTACTTTTTGTCCCCATCCAAGCGTGATGGTATATCAGCATTATCAAACACAGAACGTGTTTCTGTTAGTGGTATTCACTTCAAATAGATTTTTGTACAGACGTTCATGATTCCCAGACGATGGAACCTGAGGCCTTCGGTGACACCCTCTCTTTTCCTCTGTCTGCGAGTCTATCAGGTGTGTTTTGAAAGATAAATATATATATATATATTGCCAACAGACTGTTGACACCATGGGTTCACTGAAGTATGCGAAGCGACGGCCAGCCCCGGTTTCCAGGAACCCCACAGCGGCTCTCGCATCCCCGAAAACGATCACAGCAAATTTCCAAACAGGCCTCACTCGGATGAAATGACCACATATCTAAACGGTTACTGTCTTGCATGAAAACATTAAAATGTAATAAAGGGACATGTTGACAGTACTCAAAACATTCTTTCTGCATTCAAAGTTTTTACTTCAAGTGAAGAGTTAAGAGGCATTATCAGCACAATGCACCTACATTTACTTATGTTTAAGGTGGAGCGGTCATTGCTATGATGCTATATAGCTAAATAAATATGAACGACTCATATGTTAACTGTTCTATTTTGTTGTTTTCTGAACAGGCATGTTTTCAACTGTGTTCTGACCCTAAACTTTGCCCTCGCTGGCTGTACACACTCCATGTGCTGAACAAATGACAGAAAAAAACAGATTCTGCATGAAATAGACTTAGTGCTGGCTGCATTTCTGCTTTCATAGACATGCGTTTCAGAAATATGCGAGTGAAAATTTGGTGGTTTTCCAGTGTTTCAGACCATCTTTGATTCAGGGTTCTCCGATGAGCATGTTTGGGGCCAGTCACCGATCAATGGAAGCAGTACGGGCCAATCCGATCACCGTTCACGGGGTCCATTTGATGCCATTTCTCAGCACTGGTCAACAAGCGATTCTGCTTGTATCCATTGTATCGTTATTAATAGACAATCGGTGTGTTTCGCTTGCAGCATGCAGGGAAAAAAAAAAAAGATCATACAGGCGCCAAAACTATCGCTGCACAGCTCCACGGCTTCAGAACCGGCAGTAGTCCCGTCACAGGATGTGTGATGTCGGCAGGTTAACCCGCACAAGTCGTGCGCCAACTGTTATGAGTCTCATTTTCCACGACTCAATTATCCAATAGATTATCAATGCATCAGCCGATCAAACTATTCAGGATAAATATTGTTGGCTGTTGATGGCGGCACCCTGATCTAGGAGCTCTCGTTTCTGCAAAGCTGAAACACATCTGCTCTTGGTGCAGCACCGGCACAACTGCATGTTGTGGTTCGTCCCTCGACTCCGGCACTCTTGAGTCAATGTGAGGCGGCAACACACTCGCACACGTAGACATGCGCACTGTCTTCAGCCGCTGTAAGCGAGCAGAATGCGGCGAAAGGAAGAGAAGAGCGGCGCTTCTCCGACTCCTCGCTGCACTTCCCCGCTGTCAGAGCGATGGCCTACATTATCGCCTGGAGAAAAGAGAAGAAGGAAGAGAGGAAAAAAAAGGCTTGTGCAGCAGACTGTGTGAGGGTTGGGAGGAAATGGAGGGAAGGAGAAACAGAAAGACCACATACAGGAGGACATTGATAGGGCAAGCGACAAAACAGAGCAAGGAAAATGGTTGTTGTGGCGTTGTGATCGAGTTAACAGTCAAGCCCCTCGTTTTCTGAACAACGTTGAGTCACAATAAGAAGAGTGAAACAATAGTTTTGTCTTTCCTGTGTGG